AAGCCAATTTTTATTACATTTGTGTGAAAGCTCTGCCTCAATCCTGAAGCAATTAAAACATAATGGAGGAGCAAAACTCATTCCCCCCATCAAGAGAGTGATTGATTTTATAGCATCTGACTTGAGATCTGCAATAGCCAGAACTCATGTTCTCACTAAGAACCCTGTCCTGGGGATTGCAGGCTTCAGGACAGCCTTGGTCTGTGCTAGCCAGGGCATATTACTCTTTTATAGGCTCAGTTGTGTCACAACTTGTATATCCCAACGCTTCTCCAAGAATGGAGGGAGAACGAAGCAATCAAAGAGAGGAGGGGAGTGGGGAAAGAAAAATTGGAGGGGGAGAGAGGAGGAAAAGGGAAAAGGGGAAGGGAGGGGAGAGGAGAGGAAGAAGAAGAGGAAAAGGAGAGAGAAGGCAGAAAGCTTCTCTTGGAAGACTGGTGTCTGTCTGGTTCCAAGTGACCCCAATCATGCATGTTCCAGGGAAGAGAACATTTTTTAAATGTTGAGGTTTTTAGCTATTGCAGACTATATTCATAAATCCTTCATTTCAGTCTAGGATGGGTGGAGTAAGACAAAAGGGAAACGGAAAACCTCTCAGCCTTACCAGAGGGGGTGGAGGCAATCAGGACAAAGGAAAATCTGCTGCTGGTTTTCTGAGTATGATTTTAAGATGTGATGACAACGACCAAAAACGATGCTGGAGTGATGAGATTATGTAGTGGCAGATATTAACATCTGGGTGAGGAAAACAGTGGTACAGTTACTCCGATTATCTGCCTTCAAATTAAAATCCTATGTAAACGGTACATACATTGGGTTTATGAATTATGCCAGTCCAAAATGATAGCATTTATGGTGTGTGTTCAGTTGGCAGGATTTTCACATTGGCATTGTCCTGCTTTAGTCTCTCGAACGGTCATCACATGACGGTGGCAGGTGTGAGACCACCCCATCTGGCTAGCACAGAAACAGAGTTCTGAGAAATTAAGGAGCCACATCACACAGCAAAAGGTGATCTTCAGCCTGGATATAAGGAGTGAGCAAACAGCATCAAGCCAGCGAGGCCCAGACTCGAGAATCCGCATTGTTACTAAGTCTCTCTGTGCCGCTGCCCTTAGGACAGTAAGCGACATGGCCCCAAATGTTACGATGGTATTCTCCCATTCTGCATAATTTTTTTTCCTGCTCATCCAGTTCTAATGGACTACCAGCTGTTATTCTTACTGCTCGTGGTACTTCCAGAGTATTTGTTCTCGGAGAAACGTCAGAGCCTTTTGGCATATTGTTACGGACACCAATTCTTAGACCCAACCCCAAAACGGCCAAGTCCCAAGCTCTGGAAACACAGAACAACGAGTGCTGTCAGGAGCCCTCCAGCTACCTCTGATGCTGTCCAGCTCCCCAAAGCAGGAAATACTAACCACCTCCCCACCTTCTCCTCTTACTTCTGTCCCGACTCCAAAGATCCCGGTGTGCTTGCAGAGATGGTGTGTTCCAACCGCAACGATAACATCTTGCATCCTGGTGCTTATTTGGGAGAGATACTGCCCTTGCACCTTGCAAGACATTAGCAACATCCTCAACCATTACTCCCCAAATGCCAAGACCATCTCTCCTAGACCTTAATACCCAGAAGATTCTGATGGTGTCACATATCCCCAAGAAACATAATGTTATCCCTGGTGAATCAGCAAAGGTCTGGTCGTGCCCAAGTACTGGGATTTTTTTTTCACTAGCTCCCTTAATAATTTTTATCTAAAACCAATATTGAGAACTCTAGAAACACTAGAATTGAGCAGCTTGAATCTGCAACAAGTTAAAGAATAAAAACTAAGCATTTAGCATTGGATACAAAGTAACAATAAGCCAACATGTGATGGACACTTAGTCTACCTGCAATGATTTGGGATCACTGGGGCATAATTTCACATCATCTACACAATTCCAGACTTTCCCCTACTTTCTGGCTGACGGCCATGTTCCAGAAAGGCAGCGCAACTGAAATAGTGCATACTGAATGAGATATTGCTTTGCTGCACAAAAAATGCAGAATAAAGTGGCCAAAGAAGGAGCTGAGAACAAGACCTCCAGTGTCGCAAACTGTACAAGTTTGTGAGTAAATCTGTGTCCGGCAGGTTTAAGGAAGAGGTAGCCTGTTTGTGATGTTGACTTGACACAATCCAAATCAACCCCATGAACCAGAGTTTCCACACTAATTTGCTATCTTAGACTGTACCTATGTTTCAACTGGTTAGAGGAAGGCAGGGGTGCCCGCTGCGATTACTGTCCTCAGTCGCCAGCAGCGCATCTCTGAATCCTCGAGGAAAGAGGAAGCAGCATGCGGATTTACCTGACGGACATGGACTGTCTCCAGGCCTTCCTTGAAGCTCTCAGGAAGCTATGTGCCTATCTTCCAAAGCAGGGTTTAGGGCAGACAACCACTCTATACCCCCGCTGCCACTTCCTCCTGCCCAATGGTCTGCATATCATGTCACCTAACAAAAAGAGTGGAGATGCTACTTTGGAGCACTGATGTCTTGGAAATAGGAAGTAGATCACAGCTTGAGTTTGCTCCCAGAGCTGCATACTGTCTTTTCAGAACATGAAAACATCCTCCTGAGTTCGTGGGTTAGAGTGCCTGACTCAGGGGTGATTTGGAGCCACCAGTGCATTCCATGCTTATGCTAGGTACCACGTGGTGTTCTCGAAGAGACATAAACAGAACACTGTCCTTTTTAGGGCAATAAGAATAAGCTATGACTCCTCGTGTTCCAAAATGACCTTTGAACCAGCCTGACTTGACAGCTTGTCAGAGCTGTTTGTGTTTGCTGTCATGGAACTGACCGTCGCTTGTTAACATTAAAGAAATCAGCAGTTGTTTTCCTGTGGTTTAGATAGCATACTAAATAGCAGCTAATCAAGTGGGGTTCTTGTTTAAACTGCTTCATCAAAGAGTTTTTAAAACCCAAGACCTTTTACTTAGGCAGTGGTGTTTTTCGTAAAATTACATCAGAAAAGAGAACACAATAAATATTTTAAAGTAATTTTACATATATTCCCGTTTGTTTAAAAAAGACAAAGTTTGTATGTACATTGCAAATTTCCTGTAAGAAAACACATTGCTGTCAGCAAGGGTTGCCTTTGGGTGGGAAATCTGGGGGCCTTGATAGACTTACTGTTCAGTTGTCATTATCCAAATGTTACACAGCCTAATTTTTACTATTTCAAATTATTGTATTTTTAATTTTTAATGTTAGTAAATAATAGAAAGGAAATGCCTCTTTAAAAAACTTTTTGTTTTTTAAA